GCTTTCGGCAACCTCAACGGACCACAACTGAAACCGTTGAAAACACATTCAGCCTTGTTGAACCGCAACCTCATGATAAACCATTAATGCATTGCGGCGGCGATCAGCGACTGACGCTACTCGAGAACCAGCGCACCGAGTGCAACGCGCCGAGTGCAACGCACCGAGTGCAGCGCACCGAGTGCAGCGCACCGAGTGCAACTCACCGAGTGCAACGCACCGAGTGCAACGCACCGAGTGTAACCTATCTACTACTACTACTACTACCACCACCTCCACCACTACCACCCAGCGCACCGAGTGCAGCGCACCGAGTGCAACGCACCGAGTGCAACCTACTACTATTATTATTCAATTACTACTACTACTACTACGACGACGACTACTACTACTACTTTTTTTATTATTACTACTACTACTGCTTCTACCGCTGCTGCTGCTGCTGCTACTACTACTACTACTATAGTACTAGTACTAGTACTTCACTACTACTACTGCAACGCGCCGAGTGTAACGCACCGACTTCAGCGCACCGAGTGCATCGCAGCACACCCAGTGCAGCGCCGAGAGTTCAGCGCACCGAGTGCATCGCACCGAGGGCAACGCACCGAGTGCAGCGGACCGAGTGCAGCGTGCATCGCAGCGCTTCGAGTGCAACATCCCTAACGGCCCTAACGCACCGAGTGCAACGCACCGAGTGCAGCGCACCGAGTGGCGCACCGAGTGCAATGCAGCGCACCGAGTGCAGCCCAACCCGAAAACACCACATTACACCCAGTCACGCTCACCCGCTGCACTGCATTAATGACCTATTAGTAAGAAGTGATTCACATGATTCACCAATGGGCTGGTGCAAGCGTGCCGGTCATGATTTCGCCTTCAGAACATTGCTCTCGTTCAGTGGCACCACCCTCCTCATTACACATGGCAAGCTTAGGTGCGCTTGGCGAACTTTTCGTCCCCTCAGTGCTGGACTGCATTACCGCTGCTTGGATGGATGAGGGGGGGGTAAATTGGTTGGAATGGCTGTGGAGGTTTTGCAAAAGCTATTAGTAGCAACGTTCGCTACTAGGAGCAAAGGGCATCGCTACTAGGAGCAAGGACGCTACTAGGGGCTCCTGGCCTTACTACTAGGAGCAAGTAGCTACTAGTAACAAGAAGCTATTAGTATTGGGCCCCCCCGTTGTCAGCCGCCACGTTTTACAGAAGTGGCCATTGCTTGACTCGTTGACACCAAGGACTCCTTAGGACCTAGGATTCGTTGCTTTGTTGCACATGAGTCGCAGGAACAAATGCGGATCCCCCTGAAAAGACTTTAGATGGCTCGGTGTAGATCTCAGCAGCCTGGCCTGCACGCGTTCAAGTTGCAACCCCCAGCTGCAGCCCAATGCAGCCCATGCCACTAACTACATCACACTACATTTGAGGGTGCTTTAAAGTCATTTGATTTCCTCTTTTTTGAACACGTTTGATGTATCTCTTTTTCTGTTTGTTTGTTTTTTTCTTTTGATTCCGGGTCTTGCACGGCTCTATCCCTCACCGGAGCTCCTTGTTTTCGTGAAGAGATTGTTTATGAACAAAAGCATCTCACACAAGAAAGTGAAAGACAAAGAAAGTACGGGATGATAAGGCCCGACTAAACTCTGTAAGATTGACAAACGGCGGAGTGATTCTCCGGCAATTGGGGTCCGCTGAAGGTCCTGCCTCCGCGTTGGTGGTGGCAAGCTATGTCGGAGCAAGGGAGCAGAAGGAGAGCAAATGAATGGGCAGCCCAGATGCTGAACTGCTCAGGTGTGAACATGAATAGGCAGATAGGTAATGATAGGTTCTTATATCTGGGGTCTGTCCTATTACCTGTAGCAGTCAGTAAACAGTTATCACTATTCTTGAACAAGGCCTTTACTAACCATCATCGTCCACTGTTACAGGTATTAGGATAGACCCTACTTATATCATATTATTACTTAGAGTATAGTGTGTTTCCGACCGCAACTGGTCTCCATCGTTCTTCAAACCTACTCCAAGCTAGCGCCATTGAATTTGCATTACGTTTTAATATGTTTTAATCACTTTATCTTTCCCTTCGCATTTTGAGGCGTTCACAGTTTCTTGGGTTCTTTTTGGGTGACCGGGTGGCCAAGGCTGGAGCCTTTGGGGTAGCTATGATGCGCCGCTCTGAGATTGGATTGTCAATTACCTGAAGCAATCGCTTTGCTCTTGAATGTTTTTCTGCATGCAATGTGTATCAGCCTACCTGACAAATCTTAAGTCTAGGTGTTTTTCTTGCGTAGCTGGGAGATGCTGGGAGTAAGTTGTAAGAATACAGCTGCAAGGAGTCGCGGAGTGAAGCATGAGGCTGTTGCTGCTTTGCATGTGCCATGAAGCAACACCGGTTGAAGGCTTGAGTAGGAAAAAGGCTCAAGATTGGTTTGATGCTTAGGTCGGCGTTTTGGCGGGAAAAGAAGGCAGCCTGCTCTCGAGCTTGCCATTGAAGGAGAAAGCTGTCATTCCCGACCAGGTTGACATGGTACGCCCTCAGCAGATGTTTTGCTGTTGTGTTCAAGGGTTGGTCTATGTCTATGCTCCGTAGGCTTGGCCTAAAGCAGGCTCTGCGGCTACCATCTTGGCCCATCTTGGCCTTCTCACCAACTTAAAGGGTAGCTTCTTGTTACTAGTAGCGATGGCCTCCAACCTACTTGCGATGGCCTCCAAGCTAAGAGCGATGGCCTATGATGGCCTCCACCTAGTAGCTTCTTGCTACTAGCTTCCATATTAAGTGCTCTGGATCTTCAGCGGCAGCTTTCCAGCCTTGCAACCAAAGATGCCACCGAGCGCAGAACATTTGGCGATGGAAGATCTCCATCCTTGTTGCTTTGCAGGTGATCTTCCATGGGAACTGTCCAGATGGCTTCGCCGCAGCCTTTGCTGCACCTGGGCCAAGCGGTTAAGCAACAAAACTGACAAAGAACTGAGTAAGTTCGGTGTGGAGTGTAGAATGGATTGGATTTCCGCCTTGTTTTGAACATGGGCCGGGCTGGGCTGTTGCTTGGGCACATTTTGGTGGCAGGCATATCTTCGTCGAGGAAAAGACTGTGAGTACGTCGGCATTGGCCACGGATTCCTGGCTTACCTACGATTTGAATCAATGTACGTTGTTTGTAACATGCAGAAGTGCGAAGAATGTGCACATTGGCCATTGGAACAAGGTTCGCTACTAGGGGCTCCTGGCACCGCTACTAGGAGCAAGGACGATACTAGGGGCTCCTGGCCGTACTACTAGGAGCGAGTAGCTACTAGTAACAAGACGCTACTAGTAACAAGAAGCGGTTACCGACTGTCATTGAGTGGGGCCCATGCTGCCGTGAGCCGACCCATGCCTTGTCGACGAGTGGAAACCGAGGCAACAAGCGGTTGCCGGCCAATGTAGATGGGAAGACTATAGCCATCGTGGATTTCTCTTTTGCGCCTTGCTTTATGTATGATTGCCTTCACACATGACATACATGAGCCAGCACCAATAGAAGCTTTGTGAAAGTCACCATTTGCATCCATTTGTCAAAAAGCAATCCTGTTGCAGTTTGCAGAGCTCTAGAGGCTCGAATCTTTGTGATTTTGTAGGTGAAAATTGAAGTGAGCTGCATGAGAGTGCCCATTGCGTTCGACATGGGGCATCAACTCGCTGCGGACAGGACAAAGACACGATGGAGGAGCTTCGGCGAAGAGCCAAGGAGAGGGGATAGAGCCAACTTGTGACTTGTGGGCTTTGGACATGTGCTCATATGACACAGCACCACGACCACGACCTGTTCAAGTTCGGTTCATTGATGATACTTGTTCCTTTTGTACAGTGCTTATGCTTTGCATTGTGGACAGTAACGTACGGTATTGGAAGAGAGAGAGAGAGAGAGATTCTCAGCATACCCTCACTATGACAACACACATAGAGCCCTGAATCAGGGTGTGATTGTGCTGGATCACCATGCTAGCGCGCAAGAAGCACTTGCCACCTTCCCCGAAGAGAACAAGGCAAAGTGGGGGGGGGCCTGGGGCAGGAAATGACCGCAGAGAGGTAATTTGGGGCCGAGGAGACCGCATGGACGACCCGGCCTGCTCAAGTCCCGGCAAAGTATATAATACATCAAACATCATCAAACAATTATATAATGTAATGTAATATAATAACATAATATTAATTAGTCTTTTTGGTCCTGTAGAACGAGGAAACAACCGCCTGAATACCTTTTTGGGGTGCAACATGTTACTGGAACGCTGACGGACTTGTGAGGTCTTTGAAATGAAGATGTCGGGAGCCTCTTGGACTTGAGGCACAAGAAAGAGACCCGAAAGACGGGGCGTGTTCTTGTCTAGTTTAGAACTCTTGAGGGGGGGCTTTGAGTCCATGTTGATCTCAGGCAACCCTTTCCTGGGACTTCTTCCATGGGCAGTTTACAAAGCAGAGCTGCCCATTACTCTTCCGCTACATCGAGGATAAGGTGGCCAGTACAGCATTTGGCCTGAATGATTTGCTTGTGGCTTGTTGAATCCCGCGTCTAGGTGCTCCTGGCCTTACTACTAGGAGCAAGGACGCTACTAGGGGCTCCTGGCATCGCTACTAGGAGCATTCATACGACTAGTAACAAGAAGCGCCGCCCCATGTGGATGTTATTGTGTTTGCTTTCCCCGATGGCGGCGGAACACGCAGCGGTTTTGAGGACATTTGGCGCTGGACCATGAAACGCTCCAAGGAGTTCTCAGCAGCTCAGGTCCGGGCAGCAGCGAATGCGAGCCGATGTGCCGGTACAAGGGCAACCGCATGAACTTCAGCATCACAATAGACACGAATTGAAGCACATGACAGGACCAATGACTGTCACTTATCGGTATAGCCACTTACTTAGCCAATGGTATTTGTGTGTTGTTGGATGCTGCCTGATCGGGCACGTACGAGTGGGTAGCTTGCCTGGCTCAAACTCTCGGGCGTGCTTATGAGATAGTCAGTCATGGGCCAGACTGTGGCATACTCTCAACAGGAGTTGGATACCGAACGGTCTACAGGACTGGCAATCTTCAGACAACAGCAACCCATCTTGAAGAGCTTCAATGAGAAGACTCAGGTTCCCCATATCCATTTGCGACTGTGCTCCTCTGGCTACTTGGAGCTTTGTGGGCCAGACCCCGGGGGGAAACTGGAAAGTTTTCTGAAGTCCAAGTGGCAGGCCGACGATGCAGTGCTGGTAGGCAGAAGAGTTATGCCAAGTGGGGCCTGCTGTTGGCAGACCAGAGGCGAGGCCAACCTGCCACGGGAGACCATGGACTACACCTGTGACAAGCACTTTGTGTTTGGGAAGCAATTGACCGATGGCAGCGTCCAAGGCAACGGTGTCTTTCATTCACAAGGTTGGCAAGGTGAGAGCAACATGGCGAAGCTCACGCTGTCCCTGATCAACTTCATGAATGAGCTTCATTGCGAGCTGCTGTCGTGTAGCATGGAGAACCTCGAGACGAGATTCCGTGAGTCGCAGCTCACCTTTCGAGCGCCTCATGAGAAAAGCACTTTGGGCCCTTTCATGATGGTCACGATGAGGCAGACGGGGTACATAGAGCTGGTTGGAGCGAACGCTGAGGGCATTCTGGATCAATTGAGTAAATATGTTCAGCAGGCCCTGGGATGCAGTCGCTTGGAGGCCAACGAAATCTTTTGTGATCGAAAGTTTCAGGCAACCTTTGCTTTCCCTTCCCATGCGGTCTCCAGCTCTGGAGACAACAACATGGGTCGCGGAGCAGCTGGCATCATCAACTTCATGGCCCAAACATGTGGATGGTCCTTGGTGTCCCACACCGAGTCAGACAGAGGTCAGGACGGACAAGGGCGAGAGCGAAACATGCTCTTCCGGAGAGATTCTTTGGGCTTCCATGCTCATGTCATTGTGGAGCTCAGAAATGCTGGGCGAATCTATTTGAATGGGGCCAAGGAGGGGCTGAGAGAGGCCGAGGGCTACTTCTTGAAACGGGGTTGTCAGGCCTGCAGCCCGGAGAACCTTTGTGATGCGCAGTATGTGGGCGCAGCCGGTTTCTTTGTCGTTGACGAGGCCAACAATACAAACCTTGGCAGGCGGACTGTCGAGGTCACAGAGTGGATGAGCGGAAAAGGTTGGGTACTGCGCTCTTGCAGTGGCATGCAGCATAATCATCAATGTGGCGCCAAGAGGCATGAGCAGCATTTGGTCTTCGCTCGACCCAAACAACGCAACCAAGCTCCCTCACCTACCTCCACTTTGGCTGTAGAGTTTCGGGTGCTGCCTCAGTCTATCAAGAGGGACTACACTTGTGTTGTTCAGATTTCAGGTCAAAACACCAATGGGGTCTATGAAAAGCTCTTGTCACATCTCACAGAGATCATGCTATGTGAGAATGTGGGCCCACAAGGTTTTTGTGATCTCTTGCTTGCCAGCAATGCCCTTCGGGTCACTGGGCTGAACTTGCACGGCGAATCCAACTTTGGAAAGTTTAGCAGCATTCTGTGTGATTTCATGGTGGATCACCTGAAGCAATGGGCGCTTGTGAGTAATGTTGGGCAGAGTGGTTCCAAACGCTGGAACGTGTCAGAAGGGCAGACCCCACACTACGTGACCCTCCTGGCACGGCAGCAGCTTTTCATTTTCTGTTCGGACTCACCGGCACCTCTTCAGGAGAAGATGAGCACTCTTTGAGCATTTTTCTGGGTAGGGCCGAAGGCAGAACCGATCTTTGATCTCTTTATCCAGGAACCTGGGTTCACCCAAGATTGATATGTTTCACAAAATGCAGTGACGGTTTTGAACGGGCAGTTGCAGTCAGTCATGAGCCACGAAGTGACCAGATTGCACGCCCTGTTGCGCAGCCCGTTCCACGGTTGTACCGTTTCAGTGGCTGTGGTCTTTGGTGATTTTATTGTATAGCCGATGATTTGCTTGGCATGCTCTCGAGTCAAACCCTTGGGCTGCCAGAGTCAGTAGAGCCTTGCTGAGGAGCTTGGTGGATTTCTGGGCGTGTCCAGTGCCTTTTTAGATGCCAAAGAAGTGCCACGCTGCGACGACTAAGAAGTTGTTACTGTTCATGTCGATCACCTCCAAGGCCAACAAGTAACTCTAGGATCCTAGAGACCTGGAGGAGCTAGAGCCTATGAAGCCGGGAAAATTTCACCGATGTTCATTTTGTGCACTGTTTATGTTCCTCTTTGCTTCGCTAGGAGCTGGAGTTGCCGATCCCTGCGCCGGGCCTTCTCGAGGATCCTGACCTGGCCTTTAAGCCGTGGATGCAGATGCTTGAAGAAAGATTAGCAGGGGTCGTTTGGAGAAGACAGACGTGTCAAAACGCGTCGCTTCAACACTCCATGGTCACTACTATAGAGAAAGGTCGTAAGAATATCACCATGATGATACCAGGTGGCTAAACATGCTGCAGCTTCGAAGTTCTGCCTTCCACTTGCATCAATGAGTGCGTTCCGAGAAGCAATCCCTGGGTGTGTGCTGAGGATTTACAAGGGCGGAGAGCGAGGTTTGGACGACGCTTGCCTCGAAAGATAGACAAAGCAGGCCTCCCACAAGGGGGGCAAAACCATGTCACGCGTGAATTCAATGAATAAAGGGCATCGCTACTAGGAGCAAAGATGGCAACGCTACTAGTAACAAGAAGTTACTAGGGCCAGGGGCTCCTAGCCTTACTACTAGGAGCAAAGACGCTACTAGGAACAAAGGGCATTGCTCATCCAATGTCAATTCGGATAAGGAGTGAAGCCAAGCATGCCAGTGTGACCGTGTGCGTGTGGATGTGCACGATATCATTGCTCTATTGCAAGTATGTTGGTTCCTGGCAGTATGATTTTGAAGCATAGCTTTGGGGGTGTCTCTTTCTTTACGTTCATATTATCTATTTGTTGTTACGATAAGATAGCAAGACCGGTGCCCAAGGCGATGTTAACTCGGGGCACCAGCATTGTTGCCTATCAAGATTCCTTGATCAAGGCGGGGTTTGTTTTGTGTTCAACTTTGAGTTGAAGCTCTTCCTCACAAGTATTGATTTGATTTGGGTCATACATACCCGACCACGCAATCCCAGGCACAGGCTCGCTCAGCGAAAGTAAGACGACTTAAAGCTGTTCCTGTCAGAGACTGAGCTCTCATCTCCCCATTGGTCGATTGTTCAGACCTTGTGCGTTTGTTGAAGGATCCTGCAGGGATAGGGTGTGAACATGCGTGAACAGTTCCAGTGATTTGAACGGCTTTTGCGGGCATTTGGTGCTCTTCTCGTGTGCAGCAAAGCCTTCCAAGGACCAAAAGGCCTTTGTTGTCAATGCGACAGTCTTGCCTTCCGAGCTAGGCCCCACTCTGAGTGAGAAGTGCACCCGTGCCGCAGTGCACCAATCAATCACATTGTCACCAGATCGAATGTTTCCAGCCCCTGATCATCCAAATTCAGCGTGGATGACAAGACATTGGTTTTCGATTGATGGTTCTTCGCTTAAATATAGACCGTTGTGGAACCTGTGGCGCGAATCAATAACACTGTGCCGGTGCACTTCACTGATGCTCGACCTAGGCAACGAGCTGGCAAAGAGAGGTTTCGGGCCCAGGAGCTTTCATCCCAGTCCCTGACTGACCCTGATATGCATTCTTACTTAGGTAGGAGGACTTCACGTGGACAATTTGATAAGCAGCTAAGGTTTTCTATTGACAAAAGTTTGGTGCCAACCCCACTGAAAACGAGCATGAAAGCGCAGGTTGTCGCATTTGGGCCATGTGGCTACAGCGGCAGTAGCAACCTGTGGGCCACACGGGGATTTTCTAGCCATGGCGATGAAATACTTGGGCGCCTATCTGATGGCAGTGCTAGGAGGCAAAGAGGAACCAACCGCCAAGGACTGCTTAAAGAGAGTCTTTGCCCTCAGAGGCCAGGCAATCCAACATGGGTTGGAGGCCATTGCTTCTAGGTTGGAGGCCATTGTATACAACTTTGCTGGTACGGACTTGATACGTGTCGCTGTCCTCCTATGTATGTCCTCCTATCCCCTTATGAGACTGCACTCGCTGATGTGGGCACCTGACTGCAGTTGACCGCGTATGTATCCACTGAGATTTACTGTACCAATCAATATGTTTGCAGGGCACATGTTCTCAGTTTGCCCATCTCTCAAGTCATTCAATACTTTGCTTGCTCACTTGCCAAGTTGACCTGTTCAGCCAGGACATCGAATCCATCTTGGAAGCTGGTGGGATCAGCTATGAAACATCGATGATTGAGGAAGTGTGCAAGCGAATGGAGGGCAAGAAGGCAAGGGGCAGGTCACTGGTCAGTCCTTGTGCTCGTGGTTTTTCCCCTCTTCACACTTTATTAAGCTGTTGATTATTTTGCGTACTCACTGTTTGCACCAGGAGGCCCGTGAAAGCAAGCGCCTAATATTGGTTTCACATTCTTGGTTGCCCCGCGGATGGGGATGCTAGATTTCTTAGTAGCTTTTGATGCAGCCAACCAATGGGGTCGAACCGAACGCCTGAAGCAAAGCTTGTGTCTTAAGAAAGGTTCAATATGAATCCCCCAATTGCTGCTGGCATGCATCAGCATTTATCAGATGCCGGTTAGGAGATTTCTTGGGAGCAGGAGAATCCTAAAGACCAGTCCGGAAGCGTTTTCGGACGCCGTTAGAATGTTCAATGCTTGTGTGACTGTTTGGTGCACCCGCTTGAGCTTTTCATGTATACTAGGCATCAGGAGGTTCAGAAGCAGGTGAAGATGCCCAATTTCGTTGAAAGGCATTTAATTGGCTCTTTGTCAGGATTGGGGTGGAGTGAAGTCTCCAGAATCATCAGGAACCCCGCAAATCCCCATCAGAACACATCAAGTCCAACAAGTGAGACTTCTCGGTTTTTGGCATGTGTTCTTGTTGAGAAGCTTCGTATCAGTTCGACAGGCCAACGAGCTGATCTCTGCTGGCTTTGGCAAGTTTGCCGCTTGCGGCGGCGGCGGTGGCGGCGGCGGTGGTGGCGGTGGCGGTGGCGGTGGTGCAGCCGCTGGAGGGGATGCTGGCGGTGCCGCAAAGGAGAGGGGATCGTCGCTGAGGAAGCTGAGCCCAATGTCCCCGTGCTTCAGATGGTTCCAGGTTCTGTGTTTTCCGGACTTGAATTTCATGAATGATTTTTTAGAGATCCAGTATATGGACAAGAAACCTGATGGTGACGTGCTGACGCAAGGAGGAAAAGAAAGTTGTCGAGGAAGAAGAGGAGGAAGAGATGGAGTTTGACTTGTTCGGCTGAGTGGCTCCGATTGGCGCTCGAGGTTGCCAAAAAGGATGGTTTCACGGTGTGAAGGGGGAATTGGCCAAAACAGCACGCCAAGCATTGGCATTCGTATACTCAGGGCATTGGCATTGTTGATTGATTTTGTTTTGTTGCTTCCGAAGCCTGAGGTGTTGAGGAAGGCGTGAGCTATGTCATGTGTGTGAAGTACTTGCCTGGCTTCAAGCCAGGAGAAGCTTGGAGTTGCTAACGTAGGCTCGATTGAAGAACCCATGCTTTGCTTTGTACAATCTACTGCAACCTACTATATCTACATACATGTTACATATGTTATAATTGTATGTTGTTGTGCCTCTAAATGATTATACTGCATCAGCCAGAGTTTGCCCTAGTTCCGCAGGTATTGGCTTGACATCATCTTCTAAGGAACGCCCATCCACTCTTGTTTGAAGTAGTGATGTGGATGGAGAAGTATTGGCCTTCACCGGCCTTCACTCAACCGACTTTTGGACTGCTAGTTGCACCAAACTGCCCTGGTTTGCGCCCCAGGAAGGTTCCTGGAGCATCTCTTTGCGAAGTCTTTTTGGCTCGCGCCTTGCCTTGGAAAGTGGCCTCCCGTGGCGCATGCTGCGTATGAGCAGATGCGGTGTATGTTGGCCTGGACGTTGGCCGAACACAAGCCATGAAAGTAGCAGAAATGCTTCCCGCAGGGCAAGCAACTTGTTTCAGCACCTGCACGCATCATTGGTTGCCAGATTAGCTACCACATGGTGAAGATAGTGCATAGTGAAGCGCACTCCTGCCCATCTGGCTCCCTAAACTAGTTAACCAGTTTTGCGTCATCTACCATGCTGACATTGCTGAAGGAACGACGCGGCTGCGGATGTTTCCGAGATAGCCAGGCCGCTTTGGCATTCAAAGACTGTCTCTTACAAAGCAATTTTTGGCACTTGCGTTGTGAGGCTCCAACCTGTCACGTATTCTGCGCAGACGTATCGATGCAGACACGTTTGATATCGTATTCTCTCAGACATGGGATGACGGGCGCCTGTTCACCTGCAGGAAGTTTGGTGGCGGTGGCCATCGGGCTGCGTCTGGCTGCGCAGTTCGGGTCAGCAATTTGGAGGAATTGTTTGTCACTGACTGAAACTCTGGCATTTGGCCTTCAGCTTTGAGCCCCAGCCGGCCACAATACCAACAAGGGAGCCTTTGTTTGCTTTCTGTGTTGTAAGTAGCTGGCTTCTAGATTCTAGGCTCCAGAAGCCAGCTCTCCAAGCCTCAGATTGCAGAAGAATAATGAAAAAGAAAGTGCGGACAGTTCAAAACGGTTCAAGACTTCTTCCAGAAACATCATGAATCATCGGCACTGGCAGATGGACTGGTGACTAGCCTGTGATGTTTGGAAAATCTTTGGATATGTCTGAAGTTTGGCCAGACTAAGTGTGATGTGACCTACAGTGCTGAGAGGCAAGAGACCCAACAAGTCCATGCAGTAGGTGTGATTTACGGCAAGTGTACCTCGGATTCAAAGACACCAGTCAGCCCAAGTGAGAAAACTGTGGGGCTCTTCACTGCTTGAAGGATAGAAGTTTTTGTTCTTCTTCTTGTGGCCCGCCGGTGTAGAGGAAGTTCTGTCAGGCAGCCAACTGTATAGATTTCTGAACGTGACTTTAGAAAGCTGGCTCACAAGCAAAGTCTTTGCACATTCATGGGTGCTTGTGACCCATTGAGCACCGATGGGGTGGGTAGCTCGAAAAAGACCACATGCCCAACACTCTTTACAGCAACGACGCTACTAGGGGCTCCTGGCATCACTACTGTACTGGTTTACTAGTAGCATTCTTACTATATACTAGTAACAAGCAGCTACTAGGCGCTCCTGGCCTTACTACTAGGAACAATGTTTGCTAATAGAAACAACAATTAGAATTAGAACAATAACTTTCAGGAAGGGGATCAACAAAGCTCCCGGGGAGCAAGATGACACACCTATGCATAATGTTCCCCCACATGGGTGTGCATCAGCACCAGCAATAATCAAAGCACAATAAAGCACCTGATGTGCAAAAGCCGATGGGCTTTGCTCAGCCATGGAGAGCTCCCAGGAGTTGAACCATAGACTCCACATCGGTTGTGGTTTCAGCTGTTCATTTAATTGTCAATATGTCTTTGACATTAGGTTGGAGGCCAGCGCTATTAGGTTGGAGGCCATTGCTCTTAGGTTGAAGGTCATCACTAATAGGTTGGAGGCCATCACTATTAGGTTGGAGGCCATCGCTATTAGGTTGAAGGCCATCACTATTACGTTGAAGGCCATCACTATTAGGTTGGAGGCAATCACTATTAGGTTGAAGGCCATCACAAAAAAAGTTGGAGGCCATCGCTATTAGGTTGGAGGCCATTGCTATTAGGTTGAGGGTCATCACTAATAGGTTGGAGGCCATCGCTATTAGGCTGAAGGTCATCGCTATTTGGTTTGAGGCCATCGCTGTTAGGTCGGAGGGTCATCGCTAATTGGTTGGAGGCCAGCGCTATTAGGTTGGAGGCCATCGCTATATATTAGGTTGAAGGTCATTGCTAATAGCTTGGAGGCCATGGCTATTAGGTTGGAGGCCATCGCCATTAGGCTGCAGGGCATCGCTATGAGGTTGGAAGCCATTGCTATTAGATTGGAAGTCATCGCTAGCTAAAAGGCTGAAGGCCATCCCTATTGGGTTGGCGGCCATTGCTATTGGGTTGGAGGCCATCGCTACTAGGGTGGAGGTCATCGCTATTAGGTTGGAGGCCATCGCTATTAGGCTGGAGGCCATCGCTATCAGGTTGGAGTCCATCGCTTTTAGGTTGGAAGTAATCGCAACAAGGTTGAAGGCAATCGCTATTACAGGTTGGAGGCCATCACTATTAGGTTGGAAGTCATCGCTATAAGGTTGAAGGCCATCGCTATTAGGTTGGAGGCCATCGCTACTAGGTTGGAGGCCATAGCTAGTAGGTTGGAGGCCCGTGCTCTTAGGTTGGAGGCCACTGCTAGTAGGTTGGACGCCATCGCTCTTAGGTTGGAGGCCGCTGCTAGGGGTTGCACGAGTGACTATCTGTTGCTCACTGCTTAGGGGTTTGCACGTCACCAGTGCATAGGTGTCTTTCGAAGCAAAGCCATCAGTCCATGTCACTGGTCAATTCAGGGGTGCAGTCAGCTCGCGGTGGCAAGATCCGCGAACAGATCCGACATAGAGATCTCTACTGCCAAAACATCTATGCCTTCCTGCGCATCCGGCGCCAGACCATCCAAAGTCGCGGCAAAAGTTCGTTGCGATGCTTCGTAGTGTTTGTTCACACTGTTTTTAGATATGGGGAAGCCAGACACCCGGGGCCCCCTGTTTCCAATTTGGGTAATAAAATTCCGGGCTTTCTCATTGGTCTGATAAATCCAACCGGCTTGCTGCACAAGGCAGAAATCATTAATTCGCTTCCCCAAGGGACGCAAGGTACCATATGGCTCGTATCCGAAACACACCTCACACCAGACGGGGGTACACAATTTCGTCGAGCACTCCAATGTACTCGTAGTCCATACAAGCTCCTCCACGGGGAGTATGTTCCTCCCAAGTCCACCACTCAATCCTATCTTTCAGTTCGAGGGAAGGAAAGGGGGGTAGGTTTTCTTGCGAGCACACCTGGCCGCCACCTCATGCATTCGTGGCCGCCAGAGATCGTCCAACAACAACGGTGCCATGTGGCAGGTTTTCAGTTTGGACAACAGTGGATTCAGGGAGGGGTGTTTTACGGCAATGCCTTTCAGAGCACCGGCCTCCAAACCAGAGAGCAGAACAATGCCCTCCTCTCGCATGTCGTCGATCGCATTCACTGCGGAGCCAAAGGGCCCAGGTTTATTGGTGGGGACTTCAATCATTTCATTGATGAACTTCCCAATGCCCAAACACTGCTGAGTCAAGGTTGGGAAGAGGTTCAACACCTTGCATACCGCAAATTCGGTCAGCATATTGAGCCGACCATTCAAAACAAGCACACCAAAGACCTGTTGTTCTTAAGTCCTGAACTGTGCCCACTGGTGACCGAAGTGCATGTGGAGTCAGATTGGGTTGCAAGCCACTCTGTTGTCTATGCGGTTCTCCACGATCATGCCCCCACACTTCGGGTCCCAATCTGGAAACAACCACGTCCAATAGACTGGTCCCAACTCATGCCAACTGGAGCACATCCCCTCGACCCGGTACAGATGGAGCCAGCAGAGTCAGATCTCCCATCCTCCCACTCCACGAATGCTGATGCTAAGTATCGAGCTGTTTGGAGATCCTTTGAATCACAGATGGTCACCCAGGCCCGCAACCAGGGACAAAACCTCCATGGGTCTCAAACCGGTCGTGGAGCAACCTTGACACGTTCTTGGATCACTGAACGCTTTGTCCCGCTGCGGCCATCACGACCAGGCAGTTTCACTCCGACATTTCATGGTCAAAACAACCTCCACACACATTGGGTCAAACAGCTCAGACGACTCCAAACACTGGCACAGATGCATCACTCAGGTCACGTCCCCAATGGTCACTGGATTGAACGTAAGTTGGGCCAATGGCGTGCAATCCGTAGAGCCACAGGCTTCCGGCCGACTTTTGAGCAATGGTGGAGCCAGAAAGCCAAACACATTCCAGGTTTGCCTGATAGTTTGCCATGTGTGCCCCCTGACGGGGACCTCGCGGGCCTATTGGCTCTGGACTTCCATAAGGACCTAGCCCACCTTGAACAACTTCTGTGGAAAACGCGCGCCCAGAAAGCCAAACAGGACCGACTGGACAACCCGCATCGCATTTTTCGTGACCTTGCGGCCGCACGGCCTGAACCGGTCCAGTCCTTGCTTGCACACACAATTGCCACCATCACTTCGATTGATTTAGAGGATAATGCCGTAGTTCTTGATACTGCAAATGCATTCGAGCACGATCAGCCCATCGAACATGATGGAAAGCCTCTGTCAGTCATTCACTACGACACCGACAAGTTGTGGCTCCAGCACATGCCACCCCTCCAAGAGGGCGACAGCATTGCGCAGTCAAGCCCAGTCACCG